GGCTCAAAGAAATAAAACTCCTAAAACAATGGGAACATGTGTGCCCTGGATCCTCATGAGTAAAGTGACTTCTACTCCATTCCCAGGAGAGAGCGCCCTGTCTCCACCCGTTCATTTGCTCCTTCACATCTGGCCACACTTAAGGGTCTCTGGTTCCATGCGGCCCTGCCTCTTCTATCAGACCTGCAGGCCCTCAAGCAGGGCATAGTCTATAGTTCTTCTCCCACTTCCACCTGGTTCACAGCTGAGTGGGAGTCCAGCATAGAAGCCTCTCTGGTGCTCCATCTGCTACGCCCGATGGGCTGTGAGGCAGGAGGAAGAGCCTGGGCAAGTGCTCTGAAGGTCTGTCCTGCAGATCCATCTCTCCCTCAGGCAGGCCCCAAGGTCCAGATTGTGGAAGGAGTGAGGGCAGCGGGTGGGGTGGGAGAAGATGGAATAGGAAGAAAACAAAACCATTTTCAAATGTAGCTTATACCAAACAGTCTAAATAAAACTCATACCACTTTGATCTTCATCTGGCTCCTGTGTCAGAGCTCCATCAGTTAATAATTTGGAGAGAATAGGGACTGAGCTCAAGAGATGACAAGCAGCTTGTACCATGTCTTCACTTCTAAACAGTAAAACCGCAAAGCATCAATTCATTACTATCTAAAATTAAAATCAAATGCTCTGACTCACGGACAACTAAGAACATTTACCCATTTGATTTGAGGAGCTTTATAAAGACATGATAGATTAAAAACTAGCTAAAAGAGTAGGTCTTAAGTTCTCTTACCATGAAAGAAAAATCAATAAAAAAACAAGAAGAAAGGGAGCGGGAGAAAACTTTTGGAGATGATAACTGAGTTTATATCCTTGATTGTGGTGATAGATTCAAATGTGTATACTTATCTCCAAACTCATTGTATGCATTAAATATCCATGGATTTCTGTATGTTGATTACACCTCAATAAGTGATTTTAAAAAAGAGAGAGGATAGAAATGTGAATCAAATGTCAGGTTGCTACAGTCAAGGCGGGTGGAAAGGTGAGGCTAGCTTGTGAGCTAAATTGAATTATATATATCAAGGATCTGGTAGTTGCCTCAAATTTAGCTGACAGGCACCATGGAGATCAACTCTCCTCCTCCCTCTCACTACTCCTCCCTCACTCTCTGTGACTCCCTCTCACTGCTCCTCCCTCACTCACTGTGACTCTCACTACTTCTTTCTGGTGTAAAGAAGGGAGTTGAGTATGATGAATAGGGATGTAATTAGTTCATGCATTTTCCTTGACACGACACAGAACTGAGAACTAGACTAAGTTACAATTATTACAAAGAAGCTATTGCTATGAGGCCATGACAGACATACATGTATTTCTCCATATGCCTACTTCTTTTGGTCATCTACATGAAACGATACATTTTAAAACTCTTGAATTCTGAAGAAGTTTACTTAAATCACCCAAATGGTTGCTGGATTTACTAACCCACATGCAGTCAAGAAAGAATCAGAAGAGAAAATGGTGAAACAATTTAAGTCAGTAAAAATGTAACACTGCATATATTTTCATTAATTATATTTATAAAGCCAAATACTTAAAATCTGTCTTCACATTCTTCTGTTCCTCCTGTTTTGAAATCATCCTCATTCAGTAGTATTTACGGACATATTAATGAGAGGTTTAATAGGAAGAAAATGATTGCTAGAGTCAAACACAGCAAGGCTTACTGGTTTCCCTTTACTTTCTAGCTGTGTGGTGATGGTCATGTTACTTAACCGTTCTATAAAATGGAATCAACAATATTCACTTTAGACAAATCACAGTTAATATATATATAAATTACAATTGTTATAGCTATTATTATTTTATTTTGATTGCATCACATTATTAACCCCATCTCCCTAATTCATTTACTGTTGCATTTACTTTTAAAGGAAAACTTAAAGTAGTCGAACTGAGATGCATATGAAAAGTGCCTATCACTGTGACAGGTATAAAAAAAATGTGCTCAAGAAAATTAAAGCTGTAAACATTTACCACTTGCAAATATAGGAATTATGGTTGATATTTCTTAATCCTATAGACATTTACCATTAGATCTCATAACAATGAGAGATTTCTATTTAACTGATATCCTAAATTTTTTTCTCACTTCAGAGTCATCCTGGGAATCTTTGGTCTTCCTTTTTTATGAAGCATTCACCACCCCAATGAGCCATCACCACCTATGTACCAACACCCACACTGAGTATCAAACCACCTGGAAAATTATAAAGGGCTCATAAAGAAGTCACAGAAAGAATATTACTATGAGAGTGATTCCGATGATATGTAATCAGCTAGTTATCTGGGTGGGAGATCTCAAAAAACAGTTTGGCAGACTTTTTTTCCTATCTAATTACTTTTGGAGGTTTTTATACAAACAGCCTTAACTAGCACTGGTGATTGTGTGTGTGTGTGTGTAAGACGGCTCTGAGCCAACATCTATTGTTGCTGAGTTAACACCTGTGCCAATCTTCCTCTGTTTTTTGGAGGGTTTTTTTGAGGAAGATTAGCCCTGAGCTAACATCTGCCACCAATCCTCCTCTTTTAGCTAAGGAAGACTGGCCCTGAGCGAACATCCATGCCCATCTTCCTCTATTTTTCATGTGGGATGCCTGCCACAGCATGGCTTGCTACGTGGTGCACAGGTCCACACCAGGGATCCGAACCGGCAAACCCTGTGTAGCCAAAGAGGAATATTCGAACTTAACCACTGCACCACCCAGCTGGCCCCTTCCTCTATGCTTTTGTATGTGGGACACTGCCACAGCATGGCTTGATGAGCAGTGTGTAGGTCTGTGCCCAGGATCCGAACCCACGTACCCTGGGCCGCAGAAGCAGAGCATGCAAACTTAACCACTATGCCACTGGGATGGCCCCCAGGTGATACCTATTTTTAATCACTGCAACAATCACTCCACAAATGCAAAGAATCCACCAAAACAATACAAACTACAAGCCACAGAAACCAGAGCCAAGAAAGATGACAAAAGAATTAAACCTCCAATTCAAATACAGTCATTCTAGTCTCAGAAAGTTGCAAACTCATAAATGTAGAGATTGAAAATTATATATTTTAATGATACTGAAAGTTGACATTCAGAAGAAAAACACTATTAAAAAGTCCTTGTTTTTGGTATAACCTGATTTTCAGCTGCATCTCCAACTTCTTCTCTCTTCTAAATTAAAACTGAGGAAAAGCCAGAATGACAAATGCAGCTTTGACAATCAAGAGAGAAGACTAAAGAGCCACACATGGAGGGCACCATGCTGTGGCTTCTCTACTTCAGAGGAAGAGCCATGTGCAACGGGATGGAGGGAAGTAGATACTGAGGCCAGCCAGCAGCTCTTCCTGCAGACATGGCCGCTATTCACAGTGATAGAAACTCACTCGCTCAATAAATGTGTGAATAATTTCACACATTTGAATAATTTACTGTTCGAGGCATCACTAGAATGGTCTTAAGGGACACACTTGTGAACAAGACAGATAAGTTTCTCTGTATCACTTTTTTAATGTATTTTTTTCCTTCAATTGATCAGCCAATATTTACTGGACATACGTTAAGTCTGTGAATAAAGCTCAAGAATAGACAACATCTGGTATGAACAATCTAGACAAAAACATCTTTGTTGACTAGATCAAAGGTCATCATTTGAAAACAAGGGGGAAATAAAAAAGAATAGATAAATTTTAAATTGTTATTCATTGATCCATTCAGCCAATACAGACAAGGTGCTTGTACCGCGTGAGGAGATGTGCCAGGTGCCACAGGAGACACACAAATGAACTGAGACAGAAAGAGGGCACCTACTTCCAGGTCCTATCCATTCGCCTATGACTAAATCCTCCCATTCTTGATTCAGGCCAACTTCGGGCTTTAATCTTGCCTCTACTCTTGACCTTCAGCAAGTAACTACCTAACATCTTGAAGCCTCAACTTCCCCATCTGTGAAGTGGAACTAATCATAATATAACCTTTTTTATTAGGTTGCTGTGGGACTTAAATGATAGTTACAAATCATTTTAACACCATGCCTGATATAAGAATAGCTAACAGTCAATGAGTGCTTATTATTACTCCTATTACTCTACTTTTGTTAATCGTATACTTTCCTTCCTCTTCAGACCTATTGCTACCATCCCAATTCAGGCTGTTATTTTACTAATTAAATTCAAAAGTTTTTTTAACCACCAGCCTATCCAGCCGAACAACGGCTCATCCCAGCACCTGACACACAATTTCCCACCTCTGAACCTTTGCTTAAACTCATGCCTCTGACCAGCATCCCCTCTACCTGATCTAACCAGGTAATAATTCACTCCATCTTTCATTATCCAGCTCAAATACCTTCACAAAGCCGTCTCTGCTCTTTCACAAGAAATTACATTACTTTCTTCCGAGTTTCCATTGAGCATAAGGCACTCACTACTTTTTTCCCCAGAAGCCATGTTTAACCTATACACCAAGACATTTTATATTCAAATATTCTCAGTTCCCAGTTAGATGCATGTTTCAAAGAATGATGAGGATGTATAAAAAGTTTGTATTTTTTCCTCCAGATATAATGTCTGCCTAAGACTATGGGCATCACTTTGTTATCTAAGTGAAGGGCAAATCACAGAATCTGCTCCACAAAATTCTAACAATGTCCTAACACTGAACTGCATCACTGAAAAATATCTACACTGTAAAAACACAAGATAGAATCGAGAAATTAGAATTTGATACCAAGAAGGACCTGGTCATCCACTTCTGAAAAAAGTGGCTATGAAAACCCTGTGAACAGCGGCAGAGCATTGTCTGATACAGGATGGAAAGTAAGAGGATGGTGCAAAAACCCCAGGCAGGGTTCTGCCCTGCTGTCCACAGGGTGCTAGGAGGCAGGATTGACTCAGAGCACTGACAACAACACGCCCCGACATATATAATATTTTAAGAATGAAAAAAAAGATTCTACAATTTTCTTACTTTTCTTTCCTACTGCCCAGTTGACGAGCTGTATACTGATCCCCATAGTCAATCAGCACAAGTTGTCGAGAAAAGATATTCACTTTGTTGCCTATAAATAAATCTTCCAAGTGAAGGTCATCATATTTGGTCCGCTTTAAAAAGGTGCGATGATTCTTTACATCATGCTGGAACCAAAAACAATACAATACAACAAAGAATTATCAATGGGGAACGTTAATCTTATTATAAACTAGAAATAGTTCTTAATTCTACTTTATTAAATATAGGTTACATTGTTTCATTTTCGCTACAAATACAAATCATAATTTCTTTTATATTATAACTTCTGTATTTCCTAGTAACATAAAAACTTCTTATTACAAACTTAATACTTTAAAAAACCATAACTAGAAAGATTTGTTTATTGCCAAATCATTTCAGCAAATTAGTGCCCATGAAATCCTGGAGAAAAAATTCCAAATTTCTGCTTTCCCGCCTACACAAAATCCCAATGCCAAATAGATTCAGGTGTAAAAGGGAATGCCAGTGAAGGGACACAAAGAAAGAAGTGGGACTCTCTCAGCTCGATCCTCTTCAGTTTGACTTTTTGTAGAGAGAACAGTTTTCAATAATGGTGATCTATTTATGATCATGATAATCTTTATCTATAACCGCTTTCTGATTATTGCTTAACGCAAAGTATAAATAATCCCACTTCAGCTTCCTAATCAAAAAATATTAACTTCTATTTTTGAAATTAAAAATAAAGGCACAAAGTTATCTTCTTGTATTGGAATTCTAATACCAAAAAACAAAAAGAATTTCCACTAAATATACATGTATGTATATGTATGTATTTTTAAAAGCAACTACATAAAAGGCAATCCTATTCTTCCCATCCCACCTTCACTCTCTTTCTCAATTTTTAAGCAAAGAAAGGCTTATTTACCATTTCAACAGATCCATCCCCCGGGTAAAATAAAAGCTCATAGCGTCGAAAAAGTGAAGCATTTGGATCATACCACTCTGCAATGAAAACGAATCTTTCACTATGATTCTGAAAAGAAAAATAGAATAATTTTAACACTAACATATAAAATATAAGCACTCTTATATAAACCATACAAATTGAAAGCAAGAATTACCAAATGTTTGCAACAAACAAATCTTACTCCTTATTTATTATAATAATTCTGCTTTTCAACAATATATCAGTTATCAACACACCCTCAGAAATACTGCCTTCTAATTTCTTATTGAATATCCTTAGAATATCTCAAAGATGACTTACGAACTCCTAAATACTTCACAGCCATCCAATCACCCCGAGTAAATTAATGTTTTAGAACATGAGCTCCTGATCTGACTACTGCAATAATTCAGTCCTTCTGGAAGAAACTGTACTTATAAACAGATGATCAATAAACTGGTAAGAGAAAAAATTTCTGAGAGGCTAGCTCTTAATTACATGAAGTTGTCACTGTCCTAAATTTAAGAATACGGCACTATTAGAATATTGTTGTCATTAAAACTATAGTAAACACCCTTTCTCTCCTTAGTAATTTCACACGATCTATCTTTTTATAGCAATAGCAGAAGAACGTGCTAGTCTAGGTCCTCCAAGCAGACGAAATGCCAAGACAGGATTACACATGCAAGAACTTTGTTCCTGTAAGGGAAATTCCTGTGAGAAAATGGGAAGGGACCCAGGGAAAGCTGACAAAGCAGAATACAGATCTGACCCTGAGTGAAGGAGAGAGGGAAGGAAGACTAGATGGAATCCTCTGGTATTGCTGTACAGTCTAAGGGAGGTTCACAAGACCAGCAGGGAGTGCTGCAGCCAGTTCCTCTGAGAGGAGTTCCCTGACTTCCAGGCACAGGCCTGCTTCAGTATCCCTGTGCCTCTCCCCCACTGCCGGGAGCAGCCCTGGGGTAGCATGCCCAAAGTGCACAAGTAGCTGCGGATTTCAGAGCACAGTTGGTGGGGCCCGTGGTCATTTAAGCTCCCTCTAGTTGGGGGTCTGTGAGGTGCATTCTTATGGCAACCACAAAAGATAAAATGAAAAAATAAGTCAAAGATGGGCCCTCTTTCCTTGACTATTAAGCAGGATTTCCCTCATATACGTTATTAAAAGTATCTTAGCCCCCAAAGGTCCTTCATTACAATAAGTAAATGAGAATATAAGGAAGTAGGGAATCTAGGAGTTTGTTGCTAGCTCTGGATTTAGCATCTGATTCTCTGGTTAGGGAATATGGATGGGTTCCTTTTATGTTAATAATTTACTTATAAATTCTAATAGTAGAAGTTGTATGTCTAGTTGTATCTATGACTATATTCATAAACTATAATGTAGATAGTTTTTAAGATGTTATTTTATTTTTCCCACAATCATCCAAAAAGACACATTTAAACAATGCTTATTAGTCAAGAGAAAATAAAGGTAAATTAAGAGACATACTATGACATTTGTAAAAGACTTTCTTCATACTTGTTTTTTCATATTGATTCTTACAAATACAGCTTTTTTAGATTTCGGTTTCACTGTGCACACTAGTATTGTACTTCCATTTTAATATAAAATTTAAATATTAGTAGCTTATTAAATTTTTTACTATCTATATTAAAATATTCATTCACTCAAAGACATTATTGAACTATGGCCTTCACTAAAATAAATAAAATTATAAAATGGAAGAAATGATGGCACATCTAACTGAAGGTAAAAGGGCAGAATGATGAGGTAAATTAAAAACTAATGAAACTTGGCACTTCCATTTATCCAGGTGGCCTAACCAAAAACCTGCCAATGACACCATAATTCCAAGGCAGGTAGTACAATTTTGCACAATATGCTATCCAGAAAACAGTTTTAATACGAAGACGATCAACCGAGAACTACTGTTTCTGGCTGACAGAGAAGCTTATGGCAAACCAATGCTATTTTCCAAGAACAACTAGAAAAGTGGAATATGAAAAATAAATCTGTTTGAAGACCTTGAAGAGCCTCTAAGGGAGCTAGGATTTGAGCATCCAAGATCCAGGAAGACGGGAAGCTCACTGAGGTGAGCCCAACAGTCTTCGTGCTGCTTTTCCCAGATGACATGTGCAGAGTCTAAGTCAGGAGGGACAACAGACTGAGAAGCCCAAGAAGCTGGCAGAGGGAAGCTGCCAAGAGGCAGAGAAGCTAGCAGAGCTTTTGACAATCTCACAGGGTGAGGAAGACGAAAACTGGAATTTGGGCCTGCCAAAGCAGCCTAGACCTGAGGGGCAAAGACCTTGCAGAGAAGGAAACCAGAGAGAAGTGAGCTCAAACATGTGCTTGCTCCATAGAGCTTTCAGTAGTCTCACAGCACTGGGGAAAGACAAGAATTCAAACTCACCAAAGAGGAGATCCCACTGACCTTTCTGTTAAGACTCCTAGAGCATCACATTCCAGGAGCATGGGTAAACTAGAGGTAACCTGATCCTTTCAATGTTTGAAACAAGTCTTGTGTTCACTCAACACTTAGTTCTTGATCATACTGAGGTGAGATTTCCCTCATTCTAGCTCCCTGCATCTCCAGAAACTCTACAACTTTTCATACTCAATGTTAAGCATTCAAAGATAAACTACCAGATATAGCAAAAAAGAGTACCAAGTGAAAAAACAGGCAATACAAAGAGATCCATGAATAGCCTAGTTATTGTCTGACAAAGGCTTCAAAATAACAATGATAGGTATTTAAAAAAAAAAACAAAACATGTTGAGATAAAGAATTTCACTAGAGAGTCAGAATCTTGAGAAGAAAAAATAACTGCCAAAATAGCATTCTATAACTAGCACAAATACCCTTCAAAAGATGAAGGTGAAATAAAGACTTTTCCAGACAAGCAAAAAGAGAAAATTTATTGCCAGTGTACTTGCATTAAATGAAATTCTAAGCAGAGTTCCAAAGGAAAAGGAAAATGATACCAGATGACTCAAGAAATTGAAGAGAGGACTGAGAAACAATGGAAATGTAAATATGTGGGTAAATCTAAATAAATAATGAGTACACAAAATAAAAATAATGTCATATGGGATATAAAATAAGTGGATTTGAATGATGTCAATAAGACTATAAAGGTTGTGAGTGATAGACAGTGTTCTTCAAATGATATAAAGCAAAGGAAGTATCTCCTATATCAGCTGCTAAACCTGTTCTCAAATTCCAATGAACATTAGTGAACAAGAATCTCTCAGAAGATTAACAAACAAATCAGGGATCTTCTGTTCAATTTATCACCCTCTGTTCTATCTAAATGACTTTTCTTCCTCTCCTACTCCTCAGATAACAAGAAAGCATTTCTCAGAAAGTCTAATAAGTCAGTGATAGTTAAATTTAAGAAATTAATGATAACCATTAATCATGTCAATAACCATAATAATAATTTTTAGAGCACCTAATAAGCAGCAGCTTCTTTACATACATTATCTCATTTTGTTCTCACAACAGACAATGTAGGTAGTATCCCTATTTCATGGACAAGGATAGCAAAGCTCAGAAAATTTGAACACTGGCCCCAGGTTATACAGCAAAGAAATGAATAAGTCAGAACTCAAACTTTGGTCCTTCAAATTTTTCAAAGCCCATGCTCTGTCCCATTAAACAGCACTGCCAATGGAAAATGGGCACAAGTCAGTATTAACACAGTAATCATTCAATGAGCATAATCCAATGATGAAGTGAGTTATTTAGCTACTCCTCCATGTAAAGTTAAATAATTCTACACAGTGTCAAGTTTTGTAAACTTTAACAATCATCTAGGAGAAGTGAAATGGATTATGAAAAAATAGGATGAGGAAATCATGTCAGTCCCTGTAACATCAAATGTACTTAACAAAATATCTCTTTTCAATTATATCTCAATTCCAGAATCTTAAGGAATCAAGAGTCAGTGACGTGATCCGTGTAAGACATCATCAGTTGAAGGTAACCAAAAGATTTTATAAAGCAGATCTTCTCTGGGAAATTATAGAAATTATAGGCTGTGTTGCCCATAAGCTGCTGCTTTGAAACCATTTTCACTGTGAGCATTAGTTGTTCTAATGTAGTCATGACCTCTAGGGAAAAACAATAAAAACAATTTCTTTTATTGTAAAGGAAAAAGAAAGTAAATTGATACCAGAGGTTATCAGGAATAGAGTTGTGTTATCTTTTTAAATTCCATCAGAAACCAAACCACTTAATGAGGTGTTGAAGGGAGAGTTAAATAACACACCAGTTAAATAAATCTCTGATAAATAACCATCACACAGAAAAAGAGACAATGACTATGTCCACAAGAGTTCAAAAATGCCTAAGCTCTTGGGTCTGACCTCTTAGAGTTTTGAGCTAGAGTTTTCACAACAGCACCTACATACAAAGGAAAAAAAATCTTTCATATTCTCTCAAAAAACTAGTCCATTCCTTCATCTATAACTGTGATTTACCTCAATGATATTGTTAAAAACTATATAAGAATATTAACGGAATTTCTGTTTATAGATGAGGAAACTAACTCTCAAGCAAGGCAGTACTGTTTCCTCTATGAAAAAAGGTTTATTATGCCAAGTACAAACTGCATTCAAACTTGATTTAAACTTAACTTTCTGATTTACCTTTGCAGTAGAAACTCTGATTACTTCCCAGAGTCAAAAGATGTCTAGAAATATAAAGTGGTACTTCCGGACTTGGCCAAAACAATGGTACCTGTGAACATCCCATTCAGGCTGGCCTTTCAAGTAACTGCCTGACTACACATGCACACGCACACGTAAACATACCCACATCCACACATCTAGACTATATCTCATCACCTTTGAAATTAAAAATTTTACTGTTCAGTTAAGTTGAGCCAAATCTAGCAAAGAACTTGACTCCTCTTTTTGGTAAATGATTTCAAAGCTGAATATCATTTTGTTAAACCCCTTCATTTTATGGATAAAGAAACTGAGGCCCAGCGAATATAAATGACTCTCATAAAGTGACAGAGCTAATTAATGACCCAGCCAAACCCAGAAACCACACTTGCTGTGACTCAGATCTTTCCGTAAT